TCCAGGCTTTGTCCTCAATTCCCGCTGTCGACACCTATCCTTGGAGGTTGGATCGGCAGGTGCTGCTAACCGATTACACGGACGTACCTCCTCGTACCCGCTGCTGTCAAACGTGAAAAAATATGCTTCAACATGTCAAAAAATATTCCACGCCTCTCTATGCCAGAAGCCAAGTGACTTGCAGATGTATGAGAATATCGGTGAAACCCAGGGTTCGCCGACCAGTCCTTACAGTCTGCGGGGCATATACGCCTACGAGCCCCGCTCGCTGCTCCACGCTGCCACAAGACAGCTGGACACAAACTTCTGGGACGCCAGTAACATGAAAAGGATTTTGAACCTCCCGTCCAATAGAGCACAGGTCTGTCTTGAGGAACAGCCCTTCTTCCATCTGATTATTCGTCAGACACCCATTGAGTACAGCTATGTTCGTTCAGAAACCCAACCGGCAACGACTAATTTTCAGTCGGTGGCATTACAGGAGAGCAGGACCGTATCCGCAAATGAAGGGGACAGTCACCCTACAGAAGTACCAGAAGACACTGCGAGAATGTTCTCGCAAACTGTTGAAAATTCACTTCTTCAACTATGGGATGGAGCTGAATGCTTGTACGAGGAACGGCGCCAGGAGGAGGCAGAAATGCCAAATATTATTATCATGCCGGAAAACGTGTATACCTCGGAGGATGATGAAGAAGAGGAGGAGGGGAATGAGGAAGGAGGGGGCAGTGTATATCAGAAGAATACCTCAAGCCCTATTCCTGATAAGGCAGACGAACTTTTCTTATCAATAAGACGTTGCAGGAACTTTGAAAACATTAGTCAGCTCAGTCTTTCTCCAGTGCCGGAAGAGAATGGAGACGTGTCTAGATTGGATTTTAACAGTAAAGCTGGGGTTGCTACGGCTAAAACGGAGTATTCTGATCAGGGCTTAATCTGGGAGACAAATTATTCAGCTTCCCTTGACGGCTTACCAGTTCACCGGTGGGGCAGGTTGTCTAAACCACAATTTTCAGTAAGTTAAAACACTCTACTTACGTAATTATAGTAGACATGTCTTATTGTTATAATGTCCACATCCACTCCGTTTTAGTCCGCCTCGGTCGCTGTTGGTGACGCTGTTGCAGGTCTCAGCATTTTCGCAGAAGACCAGATCCTAGAGAAGCAGGATGACCAGGAATGGGCTAGCCTTCTTCCACCCTCTGAGTGCATACTCCAGTCGGCGAAGGGCTTTTCCACAAAACTGGAAGAGATGGTTCACCTTGATGAAAATGAAGAATTCGATGTGGCGGATCTGGGAACATCGACCGGCCAGGTGTGTACAAAAAAAATAATTTTAAACGTGCATAACAATGCAGTCGTTTTTGGGTACAGAGGAATATTCGTATGACCTCCCTCCAAGTAAATACGCATTAGTTACGACTGTTTGCATGGAAGTTTAGAAAGTTGAATTCAGCATGGAAGTTAGCTTACATAGTACTACTGAAAACCGAGAAAGTTGATGTAATTAGAGCATACTGAATATTGGTTCGTACGCTGTAGAGCATGTAAAGAGACCGTGATCTGAACTTGATTATTGGAACTAGGAGCGTGTAACGCCAAACTAGCCAGGAAAGTATTTTAGTTCAAAAACGGTAGGCCTGACTTTAGATGTAATATTGACCTTTGACTTATAACTATAAACTACTTTCACGTTAACAGTAGCTCAACTTTCCCAATTTTCCTTAACTTCGGCCAATATAAGGCCAAATATCCGTCAGTAGGCATCAGTTGCCTGGAAAATAGGGGGTTTATTTTGATTGAATTGATGGTATTTAGCTAATGCAAACAATTATAAGGCGCCAAAACAAGCGAATATGCGAGTCCCAGAAAGCAATTGAGAAGAAGAAGACTTGATAGCTGGGACAATATATTTATTCGCTTAATTCGAATAAACGTATTGTGCCAGCGATCGAGTCTTCTTCTTCTCCTCAAATATAAGTGGCTATAATTTAATAGTATTTGATCCATTTCGACTCATTTCTGCAAAACATTCCCATTTTGCGATTGAGAATTCGTCTTGGTAAACATGCGATTTCAGTAATTCGTTGTCAGGCCAATACAAGTGCTGGGAGTAAAACGGTCAGTTATATGTATTGTTTAAATAGTCCTCGGGGTAGGCGGGCGGGGAGCTTATTAGTCATCTCGTTGTTCCCTCGTTTCATGCATGCTGGTGCCAGCGTGCTGCAGGCGTTGGGTCCGGCGAGCAGGGAAACGGAGGTAGGGATGTTCTCACGGTCGGCGTGCGTGGTTTTGGATGGCATAGATTCGGATGGCATGGGACTTGTGTAGTTTGGTCCGGCCTGATGACGAACTACTGAAAACACGTATTTACCAAGAGAACTTCTCAATGTTAACACAACTAGGTATTCACTAACATTCGTTAACGAAGAATTAAATGTTTAACTACCCATTATATAAGACAATTGGGCGGGAAAATAGATACTTAAGCGGCCCTACAAGACATTTTTGCTTTAAAAAAACAAACAAAAATATCTTAGAAAATAATAAATCTGGTCGAGTGTCGGATCAAACTTTTCACTTGATATTTTTAAAAGGCAGCTTCTCCTGAA